TGTTGGACAAAATTTGATATGCAGTTAATATGGTTTGGTGTGTTGATTCCAAATATGTAATTTATTTGACGATCAAGTGTTTTTAGATAATTAATTGAGGGTTCTATAGGAGGCGATTAAAATCCTTAGGGGTAGGATTTGATGAATTAGATGGAAACGATTCTTAGATCTTTGATGAAAAGAATTATGATAGATGATGGAATTAATTATTATATAGGAAAAATGAATTTCTAGTTGATATAAGTGATTTGAATAATGGATGTTTTTTCTGGGTTTTGGGGTTTTAAGTGTAGGAAACATATTTTGATTTGTCAAATGATTGATTTATACGATGATGAATATGGGCGCGTGTGTGTATGTATATATATATATATATATATATATATATATATATATATATATAGAGAGAGAGAGAGAGAGAGAGAGAGAGAGAGAGAGAGATAGAGAGAGAGAGAGAGATAATCACCTATACACTACTAGTGTAAAGTTTTTTTACACTAGCAACCAATTATATCCTGTAATTGTACCATGTCACTATAAACAGATTTACTTTTAACAGTGACATAACACAATTAAAGGATATAATTGGTTGCCAGTGTAAAAAACTTTACAGTGGTAGTGTATAAGTAATTAACTCATATATATATATGTGTGTGTTGATGAATGACATGATGATAAATGACGTACATATCTTGTGATAGATGATTTCCATGTTGATAGATAAACTTGATGTGGATTGATATAGATGTTGGTGAATGATAATTTAAACGATGAAAGTAATGTGTTAGTATAGAAGCATTTGCATGATGGTGACATGCATCATAATTGTATATTTGAGGTTCTGATGGCAACCTAATGTTGAGGTTCTGGTGGGAACCTAATGTTGAGGTTCTGGTGGGAACACTGGTGTGTTGGTAGCTTAAGGTTAACTTGGAACTTAGGTACCAACTATATATTTACAATGATGATGATCATGATGATGGTCGGGTATCCCATACATTTAGATGTAAGTACACATTGCATTACATTTATATGTGTGTGTTTGTGAATGAGATTGATGATGTCATTATTGAAGTTAAAGTTTATGAATGGTTGTTATTTAGTTGAAGTACAAATTGTTGTTACTACATTTTAAAGCATTAATTATTGTCATTATATTTGTTTATTGTGAAGGAATGAGATGCTGAGAGTTGCGACCCATTCCCTATATAGTGAAATTGTTCTCATTTCCCGTTTTGTTTGTTGGCTTGTTTTGGTATGTTTTGTAGACAAGGACCCTCAGCCTTGGGAGGAGCAAGGGGAGACCTAGGTGTGTGTAGCTCTGATGCCAATGTGATACCGGGAATTGGAGTAGTTTAGGAGTTATATTATTGTTTTATTTTAGTTCAATAGTTTAACTTGTAATTGTTTATCACTACTCTGTTTATTTACCTTATGATGAACTGGTTTGTTGGTTTATGTCTACATGAAGACTAAAGGAGATTTGTTTATGAATTTTATGAGAATTTTGAAGTTATGTTTTTATCCTTTGACTCCTCCATGTTTGGCGTTACAAAATCCATGCCCGATATTATTTAGGAAGAAAGCCTCTGCCTGACTCATGTTCAACTCTACAAAACTTGTGTTCGACGTCAACTAAGCAGAGAGCCATTGACCTAATCACATCCAGTGTCACCAAGTTAGAGAGTTGGTCAAGCAATCACACCTAATGCCCCGCAACCCACGTTCAACGTGACCAAGTTAGAGAGTTCCCCTCCAACTCACGTCTAATGTTACCAATCTTGTGTCTGGTGTCAATGAGGTAGAAAACCTTTGACTCACATCATGCCCGACCCAACACCATGAAGTTTCCCCCAACGTGATGACAATTTCTACACTTGGCAGAATCAAGATTTGGCTCAAAAACCTCTAAATATTCAACTCAAACCAACATGCACCCAACATTTCAGCATCCACACATCATAAATGACTCAATTCCACCAAAAACAACAACATGCAATCATAAAATGACTCAATTCCACCAAAAACAACAACATGCAATCATAAAATGACTCCAAGATCATCAACTCATGCTCAACACATCCAAAAACATCCAAATTTCAAAAGTCAAGATTTTCACTTGTCAATTCGCTCAAAGAGCCACAAAATGTGGATTTCAAGTTCAAATCATCAATTATGATACAATAACAATCAATCTATTGCTTCCTTTACCACGAAATCTCCCAGAAAAGAGGTAGAAAAGGAAGAATGTGGTCCTTTGAGGTACATCACACAACAACTCCTATACTTTGATTCTCAATCCTCCAAGCTTGAATCTTGTAGTCTCTCAACACAATTTAGCTATAGAGAAGGGTAAAAGTGATCCGTGAGTAGTCAAAAGAAAGAACAAACCTCTTTTAATTTTAGATTTCCTCTCTCTAACTTCTCTATAACTTTTTTAAGAAAATGAACTTATAAAATTCACATCTTAAAAAAATCTTATATATCATTTTCTAAACTTGATCGACTTTGACTTTAACTTAAAACAATTCCTAAATAATTAAACTTATGAGAATTCTTTAATCCTTTGGGTTTTACAACAATTAAACAACCAATCACATAATCATTTAATTAATAAAATTAACTAAATAATTTTAAAACTCACATTATTATAGTTAAAATAATTCATAAATTACTAGAAATTTAATTTCTTTATAAAAATTTTAATCCAAATAATATTTCACTTCGAAACATTTTAAGTTTACTTATAAAAAAACATTAATTATCTCTTAAAAATTTCCTATCTAAACATGGTAAGAGCATTTGAATGTTTTTATTATTTAAACTAGTTTTCCTTCTCATTTCTCCTCAAATATGGACGAATTATCAAACTTTTTATTTTTTCTCTTCTATTGACTTTCATCATTATTCAAAATTAATTTTAAATTTTAAATATGAGTTTTGAGACTTTAGAAAATAAAGGTTAATTTAGCCAAAATAAATGAAAGATTTTGAGGAAGATTTCAAAGTCTTGTATGAGTGTCTAAAATACTATTTTGTTTACTAAGTGTGAAGTTGATAAAAGTATTAAGCATAGAACTTGATCTCTCGGAAGAAATAAGTTTAATTTTTTAAAAGTGTATTTTACTTGTTTTTCTTTTTCGTACATTAATACTTTTTCTCCAAACCTGCGCCCGGGAAAGTTTCTTGCTTTTTCTTCGCAAACCATAGTGAGTTATGGGAAATGGTAAATGAATAAAAAATATTTTTCATTCTTCGTCTTTGAAAATAACTGTATGTTTATCTTATATATTATTTTTACATTTTATTTTTGGTTAAAAATATCACTTATATTCCATGCTTTTGTTTATTTTTTTGTCATTTTATTAATAACAAATGTATAATTTCGAATTTCTCTTATAATATTCATTTTATTATTAAGTTTTTTTTTATCTTGAGAATAATTTCAGAATTAATATTTTTTGAAATGATGCCAGAAATCTTTTGTCATGTTTGATATCCTTCATAGATTAAGGTTTAATTCTTTTTTGAATTCTAATCTTTTAGTCTTTACAATTAAAGTGTTTTTTTTATACATATCGTTTTATTTTTAATTTTTATAATTTTATAAGTTTTATCTTTTTATTCTATATATAAGTAGAAAATTAGGACAATAAAGAAACAAAAATAATATATGTAAAAACTAAAATATAAGATAATTTTAATTACAAATATTAAAAGATAAAGTTGATGAACTATAAAACTAAAAGTGTAATTAAATCATAAATTAAAATAAAATTTATTAAAGAATTAATATTTTTCCTTTTTTCCTGTTACTCATCATTACTTATTTTGTAAAATATGAATCATTCACTCACTAATTACACCATGCTGATAGCTAGATAACATTATTTTTTATGAACATCATTAAGAATTCAATCCTGATTTTTACGTATAAAAAAAATATTTGTTAAGAAATATGTCAACTGTTTTAATGCCAAAAAAATTGAAAATATTTCTTCAAATCTAAAACCAAACGCATATTCCGAAACTTTTGAAACTCCGTAGTCCAATGAACTTAGACGAGGTCCCACCGTGAGGTAGGACTTAAGTAACCTTATAATTTTGGGATTTTACTCTTATAAAGTGATATAACCAAGTGATCTAGTTTTTTTTTTTTTAAATAACAATAAATAATTAATATTTTAACATATTATTGTTTTGCTCTGTAAAAAACCTCCTTCATTACTTAGAAATTGAAGTTAAGACTTCCTTAAATTACAATCTTTTCATAGGTAAAATTGTAAGTATCTAAACAAAGTTAAATTAAACAATAAATATAGTAATTCTAATAATATCAACTAACTTGAGATAAAATATTGGTATTGAAAAAAAGAATTAAATTAATCATATACTTATTAACTTTAATTGAGAATTTATTTCGGTATGCAAAAGAAAACCTCATAGTCAAAAGTAATTTATAAACACTTTTAATATTATCAAGTCTAACAAACTTGACATCCTAACAATTATACATACATACACATTTTGTTTATAAGAAATTGTTTGGTATATGAGAGACTACATTAGTTAAAAAAAAATATATTGTTATTAAATTAAAACAATTTTACATAATATTCCATAATATTGAGTATTATAAGTTTACTACCAACTAACATTATATAGTTATATTGTATTTAATAAGAGTTAATGGCTTTAAACGATGCGGATTTTGTATATTTACTCTTTATTTAAAGGAAAGAGGACCCACAAAAGTTTAATTTAGAGAGAAAAGAAGAAAGGTTTTGGGCAGGAAAGTGGTATCCAACTTCTTAGTGATCTTCAAGGAGACGTAATGGAGTAGGAAACGTGTGGCACGATTTTTGTTTCTCTTCCAGAAGCCCACCCTACCCAACCCAACATCTCAAACAATCCAAACCAAATAAATAAAACCAATAAACAATCCCTTTCTTCTAGATACATATGAATAAAATTGGCCTGTCACTGTCACTATTTCTGGTCCCTTTCATTTTGTGTTAATATAATAACAATCATGTTGCTATTCAAGTCTCAAAATTCTCGATTCTTCATTGCTCCTCCTACCCCAAGTTGCTTTTGAAGCTCACAACCAAAATTTTGTGATATGGGTATGAACAAGCTTCATGTGTTGATGTTGTTAGTGATCTTGATTGCTTCATCGGTGGCAGAGAAACCTCGTGTTGTGGAAGGAAGGACACTTTCCTTAACATCTCAGTCTCATCAAGGTTGGCAAAAACTTCATAACTGTATAGAACATGTTTAGATAATAATCGTTTTGAGAGTTTCTTAATCAAAAATAGATAACTTTTTTTTACAAAATTCTGAAAAGCACTTCTAAATTTATATTTAAACAGACTCATATACTACTTTGTGATGGTGTGGTTGCTGATTAATTGTGTGTGATGAAATTGCAGGGTACTCTAAGATTTTTGCTACGCTTGGAGTTGTTTGCAAGTGTTGTGATGGGGTTGAAGGTGCCTGCACAAGCACATGGACAGAACCTTGCCCTAATTTGCAGTGTTCCCCTTGGAAATATCACACAGAATAGCAGTTTCTTTTATTTTCCTTGCTTTTATTTGCTGTATGATATGATTAAGAAATATTATAGGAATTAACTCTTTGATCTGATTTTGTGTTCTGGATAGTGTAAATTTTGTGTATATCTGTGCTAAATTTTGGGGATGTATATTACAAAAGCAGTGAGAAACGAGGTTGACCACATGTGCATTATATTTATGGCATTACTATATTCTTTTGAAATTAGCTTCAAAATGAAAAACTGAACTATAGTTAATCATTTGGATGATGGCTTGATCGAAAAAGGGGTTGAGTTTAAATTAAGGGTAAAGGGGAAGTAGTGGGTACTAAAATACTGTCCCACATTATGACAAAAGGAACTAGTAAAAACTTTGAACAAATATGCTATTTTAATTTGTAAATGGAAAGAGAAAGGAAATGTAAAGTGTGAAAAAATTTTATTGTTATTATTTATTTATTTTGAAAGGGTATTTTTGAGAAGCATAAAATATCAATTATTTCATGTTTAAATAATAGAATTGTATCTTTTATACTTTTACTCTCATCGTTTACCTTCCCATTCTCCCAAAAATCAAATGTCAAACACAGGTACATTAATTTTTTGTTTGTTTTTTTTAATAAATATTGTATTTTCTTTTATGGCGAAAAAATTATAAACAAAATCTTTTGTAATAACAAAAGTTGGTAAAGGCAACGATTGTGGTTTAGTTCAGTTGATTAAAATTTTGTGTGAATTATAATAAATTTTTAAATATTGTGTTGGATTCCAATAATAAAAAACAAACTTATAAACTTCAGGAATTCGAGATGGATAAAAATAGTATGTCTATACTTAGATAAGCTAGCTTTTTTTTTTTTTTTTTTTGAGTATTGTTATACTCACAAAACATAATTTAGCATGAGGTTTTTTTTTTAATTATGATATTAGTACAAAATATTTATTGTTGAAAGTAATGATTAATCTTCATTGAAGACCGTGAGTACACAAAAAATGAGTATTTCCCTCTTAATATAATTTATTTCATATTTAAAATTAGGATTTGAACTTTAGACAACATGATTAAGGAACACAAAGTCACAAACTACTACTACTTGTGTCAACCAATGTTGGTGATAATTATCAAGTATGCATTCATATTTTATTCAATCTAGATAATTATTGATATATATTATGCTTTTAAATCTTTTTTTTTTCCACAAAACTTAGTCAAGATGATAGTTTTAATTTTAGTTTAATTATTTAAATATTAGATTTTTTTATGTTTTTCATTGTTGAAATATCATAAGGAGAAGATAATTTGGAAAGTTATGAAGTCTCAATTGAAATTATTACTCTAATATGAAAATTCGCTCAAAACTACTAGAAATTCGCTTTGATGAGCGAGTCAAAGCAGAGAATGACAATGGAAGTAGGGTTTTATAAGATCAACATTGTAATCACAGATTGCTCAAAAATTCATCAAAAGTTGTAATCCTTAGTCATGAGTGGCTAAGTTCACCATTGTTGAGGATGGAGGTAGCTACTTGAGTTATGAAATTTTATCTCTGTTTTTCATTCAATAAAATATTTATTCAGTTAATTATTTTAGTCTTATACTTAATGCTTGTTGTGTCTTGATCAAATTTATCATGATTTTATAATTTTTAATCAAGGTTGAGAAACCCTTTTTCCAAATTATGATCTAGCTAAAACACTAATAATATTTATTACCAAGAAATTGGGATAAACCTCATCAATCAACTTTTGGTCCTTAACCTTAATGTGAGATTGTTTAACAAAAATTATTGAGGAATTGAGATTTTTCTCAAACAACTTAGAATTTCTCACCTAAGAAATTATGATTTAAATGCAATTGTGGGATGTCAAATTAACTGTATACTTGCAATGTTGAATGAAAAACAATAAGATTTTACATAGGGATAGTTATTAATTAATCTTCATCACAATTTACCACTTCACTATTATTCTATTGTGTTTAAACAATTTTTTTTCTGAATAATTTTAATTTTCCTAGTAATTTGTCTATTTGATAAAAATATTATATTAAACAATTATAAATCCAAGTCTTTGTGGATTTGACACTTGAACTTTTTTACCCTCTTTACTACTACGTCAATTAATATACTTGTCAAATGTGTATCAACTGATCAATTTAACATAAGATAAAATAGTGATTTCAATAAAGATTATAAATGCAATTATTAGCAAAATAATGATGTATTAGAATAATAAAAAAAAAAGACATAGTTATAACTTAAGAAAATCCTAGTATTTATAAGTATGAATGATTTTACTTTAGGTCGATGATCGTCTAACTTAATTAAGTTATTGCCAGTTAATAAATACTTTATTTTCTATTCACAATATGTTATTTTGTTTTTATTTATACCCTCACAATTAACTTTTTTTTGCACATGCATGCATGTGTATAATTTTTTTCTTCACATTTTAAAAATAAGTCGATATACATGAACTACAAATTGATTGAAATAGTTAGCTAACAATCTATTAAAATAAACATTCCAAAATTATATATGAACATGGGTTGCTTAGAAATTAATATAATTTTTTTTTGAAAATGAGGAATAAAAGTAGAAAAAGTTGTTTTCCAAAAGCATGAGTCTTAGTAGTCACATATTAGCATTAAATGTGGAAAATCTTTAAATGTTTGTAACCATTCTCATAATCAATGCTAAGGATTGATCTTAATGTCTTCTTCAAAGATGTTTAAATATTTTAAGAGAGCATTACCTCTTAAATACAACTAAATTATCTTTATAACATGTTTATGTGGGAAGGCTTATTAAGTGAGTTATGACTATAATGAAGTTTCTTAATCAAAAGCCTAAGGTTGCTTAGGGCAAGCCACGAAAACCTTTAGGAGTTTAAAATGACATGACATAATTGCTTTATAGTCATGTTAGATGTACACATGTCAAAGTAGTAACCTATGACTTGGAGAATCATGCTCTTAAAATTAAACCTATTCGAGGTCCTACTATGAAACATTCAAATACTCATTCCATGCATCACCAAAGATAAGGGTACAAATCAATTTGTGGTTTGGTTTAGGTGATTAGTTTGGTTGGAGTTTAGTTTACTTCACATGATAATATTTGTCTTAAGATTCAAATTATAGGTTTGCAAACCAAAAATACCTTACTTGAACCAAATGTCAACCACACTATAGAAGCCTATCTAATGATTGAAGTTAAATTCCTATTGAAATTAATCATTAATCTCCAACTTGTCCATCTTTTCTCACTCCATCTTCGCATATATTTTTGTCTCCCCCTTTACCCACTCGTCTCTCAACTCTAAACAACAAAATAAAGGCATAACTATAATGAGGTTATACTAAGATGACACAACTCATTGTAGAAGGGCGACAATGCCTACCCAACTATTTTTCACACACAATTCAAATTGATTTGCTCACACATAGAGGGACAATGACAATGTGATTCCTTTGTAGTAAAACATTAATTTGGCACACAATATATGAAAAAAATATGACAATGCAACACAATTGGTTTCCACACGATCGAGTCAATTCAATTAGCTTACTCCTAGGGGATGCAACAATTGTGGGATTTTTATCTGGTGAACACTGATATGATTCCAATGGTTAATACTTGAACGATGATATCATTAACCGGCAATAATGGTAGAACAACATCAAATTTGAACTTATGCTTCATATTTTTCAATTTTATTTTATTTTACTACCAGCCACTCAATTTGAACTAACTCGATAGAGATTGAATTAACTCGATCAATTCAAGTTTTCAATCCCAAAAAATAGAGAATGAGAACCAATATAACTCGATGTCACTTATTTAGTTTAAATTTCTACTTAGACTACTTTTTTTTTTTGTTTATGGACATGGTACACACAATATTTCAAAATTGATAATCAATGACTAATACGCATTTGCGGGACATGGCCTCCATTAACTAAATATTATTTTAACACTTTGATAATTGATCCTAGGAACATCAGGTCAACCCCTACACCCCAAGATATATCTTACAACCACTATAAAAATTTCTAGACACCTTAAATTAATGCAAATGTGACCCAATTGTATCCCAAATCAAATAGAAATTCTTGAACACTAAGTATTTTCTTAATAATAATTGATGTATATGAACTCACTTTAAAGTTTTAACATGAATCCTCATTCATTTCCATGTTTTTGTGATCTTGAGTCCTAGTATTGTGTTCATGTTTTAAGTTTGGTCCCTTCCCTTTTTATGGGATGAATTATTTTCAAGAAAATTTTACATATTAGACAAAAAAAAAAACTATCTCATGGTTAATGAAACAAAAATCCAGAAAGAATAGTAAATACTTGGTTAAAATACTTTTTAATCCCTATAATTTTACTTACTTTGTCTTTTAGTTCTTATAGTTTAAAATAAATCTTTTTAGTTCTTATACTTATTTTTTTTCAATCCTTTTTAATCCTTTCAATCATCTTGCAAATATAGAAACTAAAAGGATCTATCTTAAAGTATAGAGACTGAAAAGAATTAAAAAAAATAAGTTTATATGTTTTTAATCTTTCAAATTTAAGGTAAATTTGTTTTTGATCCCTCAAATTTAAAACTACTATTTTTAGTCTCTGTAATTTTCAAAAATTTTGTTTTAATCTATTAGATCACCAATAACACATATAAAAGTAACGGAATGAGACAGTAATGCAACATCCGTTGAGTTTAATGCAATGTTTCTACTAATATTGACACCAATAGATATATTTTATACAACAATATTTGATAAATTTTCTAACAAAATTTGAGTATAAAAACTAAAACAAAATTTTTGAAAAATCATAGGAACTAAAAAATGTCAGTTTTAAATTTAAGGACTAAAAAAAATCACCTTAAATTTGAGAGACTAAAAATATATTTAAATAAAAAAGTAAGTATATAACTAAAAATATCAATTTTAAATTATAAAAATTAAAAAGTAAAGTAAAATTATATTAAAAAGTATTATAACCTAAATACTTCTTCGATCCCATTCGTATAGCTATATCCATAAATATGAAATCTTTGGCAAAAAGTTATATGCAGAAACTAGTGTGTTTGGTACATAGGCATATACGAGATAGCTAGCTGTATTTCATTGCAACGAGGCATCATGATTTTCTCAATTATCATCTTTTGCGCAA